CAGTGCTGTGTCTCCTGAAGTCAACAATGAGCTCTTTGGTTTTCTTAGTGTTCAGTGCCAGGTTGTTTTCTGAACACCAGGCTGCCAGCTTCAGGACTTCCTCTCTGTAGTCTGCCTCGTCTCCCTTTGAGATGAGTCCGACTACCGTGGTGTCATCAGCAAACTTGATGATGAGATTGTTGTTGTGGGTTGAACTTCAGTCGTGGGTGTAGAGAGAATACAGGAGGGGGCTCAGCACACAACCCTGTGGGGAGCCGGTGCTCAGTGTGAGAGTGGAGGAGAGATGACAGCCGAGTTTTACAGTCTGGTCCTTTATACAGGCACATGTGAGAGGAGGGAGGCCAAGAGCGACCAGTTTGGTGATGAGGATGTCCGGGATGATTGTATTAAAGGCTGAGCTGTAGTCCACGAAGAGCATTCGGACGTAGCTCTGCCGCTGCTCTAGGTGACTCAGCACAGCGTGGAGGGCTGTGGCGATGGCATCTTCTGTGGATCTGTTTGTGCGGTATGCAAACTGGTGGGGGTCGAATTCTGGGGGGAGGTAATCCTTGATGTGCTGAAGGACTAGTCTCTCAAAGCATTTCATGATTACCGGCGTGAGGGCCACAGGGCGGTAATCATTCAGGCTGGAGATGGGAGACTTCTTTGGCACTGGGATGATTGTGGCTGATTTTAGACAGGATGGGATGGCTGCCTGATCCAGTGAGAGGTTGAAGAGTCTGGTGAAGATGAGGGTGAGCTGGTGGGCACATGCTCTTAGTACCTTGTCTGGACCGGCCACCTTCCTGGGGTTCACTGCTAGGAGCACACGTCTGAAATCGTGCTCCGTTACATTGAGTGGAGCGGTGCAGGAACCAGGTGAGGATGAGGATGGGAGCAGGGCTGAGGCAGACGAGTGCTGCTGTTGTGAGGTTTCAAAGCGGGCGAAGAAGCTGTTTATTTCCTCTGCCAGCTGCACACTTAGGTTTTCCGTTTTCGCAGTGCTGCCTCTGTGGTTGATGATGTCTTGCATTCCCTGCCACACCTCCCGTGTGTTGTTGCTGGACAGGTGGGACTTGATGTTTCTTTTGTGGTCTGACAACAAAGGGAAGGAGTACTATCTGAAAGTGCATGACTTTCAGATACTGTTCATGCTGTAGGGAGCTTTTAGGCCTTACACTTTTTTATGTTCCATTTTTCCTAACATTTTTTTTTTCATGGACATGCTGCACAACACACCAAGACATTCCATGTTTTCAGCGTATAACCCTTTGGGAATCACCTGTTGGTATGAAAATACAATTTTAATACTAACCTGTGTTAGATGCAGTTTGACAAACATACAACCAGCATAAAACCAGTGTTATGTCTACACAGCCAGTGTTGTTTAGACACAACACTGGTTTGTCCATACAGTTAGGTGTTTTATGCTCAAATGATGCAGGTCAGTGAGGTCAGTGACGGGTACAAGGACTAGAGTGCAAATGAGTGAAAAAGCAGCCAATGTCCAAAGAACCATTTGGAAATCCCTTCAGAAAGTCTGGAGGAATATTGCTCTGGACCATTTT